CAGACCAATAAGATATAGGCTGCAAAGCAAGTCTTGAGAGCGACGAACTTGAAAATCTTGCACCAGCTTTTAAATTTAGCGGGGGCATGGTACAATAAGGATGTAGGACAGATTCGTAAAACTACACAAATGCAGCCCTGTGCAGTTTTATATATTACTAGCTGAAACCGGTGCGTTTCGCTACCCCTTTTGATTTTATATGCATTTAAAATTTTATTTACGAATATATGTTGGATAAAAAAAAAACAAATTTCAAAATTAAAGAAAAAAAAAATATTGCACTACTTTAATGCGTTAATAAACAAAACCATTAGAAAAGCAGTAACATGACATGCATACACGAAGGGTTTGTCCTTCATAGGAAATATCAAGCGTGCAGAAAACTGTAATTTTTTGAAGTTGAGTGGCATTTCTATTGCAATTTGTGAATTTGAGGTAGCAACATACTTCCCCGTAATAAGCGTATTTCAAATTAATTGTTGTGTTGTTTTTTAGTGTTAGCCTAAGGCGTTGTGGGTCAATGATTCTTATTAAAACTTATCCCAATCTGATCCGATTTAATTATAATATTAAAAAATTTACTTTTACACCAAATTCCGTCACAACTTTCATATTTCATTGAAATTGGTGCGCCAAATATGTGAAATCGGCCGATAATATATATATGACTAATTTCCAATTAATTTATCACATGTATTATTATAACCAAATTCCGCCACACATTCTGAATTTAATTGGAATAGATCATATGTATCGTGTTTGGTGCATAACATGTATGAAGTCGGTCGAAATATATATGTTAGCTATACCCAAACCTCAATCGTTTTCAATATAATTTGGCAATTTTTTTCTGGTGCCAGATATATATGGGAGCGCGTATGGCATACAGCTCTGGGGCACAGCTAGTGCCTCTAACGTAAGTAAACTACAAAGAAGACAGTCGAATATTCTTCGATCTATTACAGGTGCACCATGGTACATAAGGAACGCAAACATCCACAAGGACCTAAATATACTTACTGTTGAAGAAGAAATAAAGAAGCTTTGCCGCAAGTACTTAAACAAACTATCCGAGCACCCAAATAACTTGGCCCGCCAACTCCTACTATTCGGAGGACACGATAGACTGCGCAGACGTGACACTCTTTCTATCATATAGTTTATTTTTTTTGTCTTACGCTCTCATTATTTTCAGCTCTTGTCTGGCCAATTGAACGTCGCCCACTTTTATACTTCTACAGGTAGTAGTATGCTAAATTGGAAGCTGCTTCTGTGAAGTAATCGAAAAGACTATTACTGTAGTCCGCGGGAAGATTAGTGAAGAAATCGATAAGACTATTACTGTAGTCCGCGGGATGATTAGATATAACTGTATCTAAACAAAGCAACATTATATCTAAACAAAGCAACATTATATCCGTAAGACTATTTCTGTAGTCCGCGATTCACTTAGATATATCTGTATCTAAACTAATCTTAACTAACTATTCAATCAATTCACGGATATAACTGTATCCACAAGCCCACAAAATAACACACATCTATATTATAAAAAAAAAACAATAATAATTAAAGCATGAAAAAATATGGGGTGATTGTATTGACAATCTCCCTATAAAAATATTAGTATATAAGATATGAAACCTTATTGTTATTTTCATTAAATATATGAAAGATTCAATAAATTAAACAATTAAAAAAAAAAAATATATATATATATATATATATATATATATATATATATATATATATATATGGGAGCTATATCCAAATCTAAACCGATTTTAATATAATTTGATTAATTTAAAATTCAAAATCCCGTCACATATTCCAATTTTTTTTGGAATCGAACATACATATCGTGTATGGTGCATAAAATACATGAAATCGGTCGAAAATATATATGAGAGCTACATCCAAATCTTAATTGATTTTAATATAATTTGACTAATTTATTTTCTAATCAAAATCCCGACACACATTCCCAATTTCATTGGAATCGAACATACATATCGTGTTTGATGCATCAAATAAACGAAATCGGTTGAAAATATATATGGGAGCTATATCCAAATCTGAACCGATTTCAATATAATTTTACAAATGTATATTTGTTTTAATTTCCGCTACACATTCCAAATTTCATTGAAATTAGAGATACATATCGTGTTAGTGCATCAAATAAACGAAATCGGTTGAAGATATATATGGGAGCTATATACAAATCTGAACCGATTTCAATATAATTTGACAATTTAATTTTTGTTCCCAATTTCGTTACTTATTTTAAATTTCATTAAAATTGGTCATACATATCGTGTTTGGTGCACCAAATACATGAAATCGGCCGAAAATGTATATGGGAGCTATATCCAAATCTGAACCGATTTTAATATAATTTGATAAATTTATTTTCGGATCAAATCCCGTTAAACATTCATATCGTGTTTGAGGCATCAAATGAACGAAATCGGTCGAAAATATATATAGAAGCTATATCCAAATCTGAACCGATTTCAATATAATTTGGAAAATCAATTTTTTAGGTAAAATCCATCACACATTTCATTGAAATTTGGGAGACATAGCGTGTTTGGTGCATTTCATTGAAATTTGGGAGACATAGCATGTTTGGTGCATCAAATGCTTAAAATCAGCCGAAAATATATATAGGAGCTATATCCAAATCTGAACCGATTTCAATATAATTTGGCAAATTTATTTTTGTTCCAAATTCCGTTACGCATTCCAAATTTGGATGTGGATACAAAATCTAAATTTTTGGAAGGTACTTTCGATTCTGATGCTATATCTCCACTTCCAAGTGGAATTTCAAAAATGAATATGGCCTATGTTACTTTCAGGCGATGTTGCAGTATACATGCAAATTTTCAGGAAAATCTGTTCAGCGGTTTTCGAGTCCATAAATTACAAACAAACATACAAACATTTTCCTCTTTTATAGATATAGAAGAACTAGCTGAACCCGGTGCGCTTCGCTACCCCTTTTGATTTTATATGCATGCAAAATTTTATTTACGAATATAAGTTGGTTAAAAAAAAAAAAATTTAAAAATTAAAAAAAAAAAATTATTGCACTACTTTAATGCATAAATAACCAAAACCATTAGAAAAACAGTAACATGACATGCATACACGAAGGGTTTGTCCTTTGGATTTATTTATTTCATAGCAAATACCAAGCGTGCAAAAAACTGTAATTTTTTGAAGTTGAGTGGCATTTCTATTGCAATTTGTGAGTTCGAGGTAGCAACATACTTCCCCGTAATAAGCGTATTTCAAATTAATTGTTGTGTTGTTTTTTAGTGTTAGCCTAGGGCGTTGTGGGTCAATGATTCTTATTAAAATCGTATCCCAATCTGATCCGATTTAATTATAATTTTAAAAAATTTACTTTTACACCAAATTCCGCCACAACTTTCATATTTCATTGAAATTGGTGCGTCAAATATGTGAAATCGGCCGAGAATATATATATGGGAGCTATATCCAAATCTTAACTAATTTCCAATTAATTTATCACATTTATTATTATAACCAAATTCCGCATTCTGAATTTCATATGAAGTCGGTGGAAATATATATGGGAGCTATACCCAAACCTCAACCGATTTCAATATAATTTGGCAATTTTTTTCTGGTGCCAGATTTCGTCTCTCTCGCTTTGGGTGCATCAAATATGTGAAATCGGCCGAGAATATATATGGGAGCTATATCCAAATCTGAACCGATTTTAATATAATTTGATTAATTTAAAATTCAAAATCCCGTCACATATTCCAATTTTTTTTTTTGGAATCGAACATACATATCGTGTATGGTGCATAAAATACATGAAATCGGTCGAAAATATATATGAGAGCTACATTCAAATCTTAACCGATTTTAATATAATTTGACTAATTTATTTTCTAATCAAAATCCCGTCACACATTCCCAATTTCATTGGAATCGAACATACATATCGTGTTTGGTGCATCAAATAAACGAAGTCGGTTGAAGATATATATGGGAGCTATATCCATATCTGGACCGATTTCAATATAATTTTACAAATGTATATTCGTTTTCATTTCCGCTACACATTCCAAATTTCATTGAAATTAGAGATACATATCGTGTTTGGTGCATTAAATAAACGAAATCGGTTGAAGATATATATAGGAGCAAATCTGAACCGACTTCAATATAATTTGACAAATTAATTTTTTAGGTGAAATCCATCACACGTTTCAAATTTCATTGAAATTTGGGATACATAGCGTGTTTGGTGCATCAAATGCTTAAAATCAGCCGAAAATGAATATAGGAGCTATATCCAAATCTGAACCGATTTCAATATAATTTGGCAAATTTATTTTTGTTCCAAATTCCGTTACGCATTCCAAATTTGGAGACTGTATCTGTAATCGATCAATAGATATGTGCATACAAAATCTAAATTTTTGGAAGGTACCTCCGATTCTGATGCTATATCTCCACTTCCAAGTGGAATTTCAAAAATGTATATAGCCTATGTTACTTTCAGGCGATGTTGCAGAATACATGCAAATTTTCCGGTAAATCTGTTCAGCGGTTTTCGAGTCCATAAATTACAAACAAACATACAAACATTTTCCTCTTTTATAGATATAGAAGAATAAATACTATTTTTATTTATTTGTTGTTTTTCCCATTTTTAAAATGAGTAAAAGAGCGACAGATGAATGAAATGCATGGATTTTCTTTCGAAAATATAATGTAATGCAACTTACCTTTTTATTGTAACATGGAGGGGGGTATTTTTTCGATGTCCCCAGAAAAGGTGACGTTTTTGGCTATGAAGGGAAATTACATTGCATTACAAATACTCAACAACCTATGGCTTGGACTGATATAGTAATTTTCGAATTGGTAACGAACATCAATTTAGTGACAGGATATAAAAATTACAAAAGGTAGACGTTACGTTAAAGAGAGACTTAAAACCAAGATTCGTGTGGGGTTTAAAATCATTTGTATTTATTCTTAATAGTCTAATTTGCACTGGAGTTGAAAAAAAATGAAAAATTTACACAATCATATACAATAATAAATAACAAAACAAGAAAAAAATATCTTCTGCGTTTTAAACTTTTTTGCCATTGATTTTGCGCAGTTGTTTCTTATTGATTTTGTCGAAGAATAATAGACCGGCCGCCCGTTCAACTGACTCAGGTGGCACCTGGAACACTGATAATGGCGTATCATCGCTTATCACTTGATTTGGCATTACATAGGATTCCATTTCCAAATGATTATCGGATGTTTCACCAACAATAACTTTATAGAAGTGTGTGGGAACAGCAACATTATTATTCCCAATTACTTGGTATTTTACATATTTTTTGCCATCGTCTTCCTGTTTGGGTAAATACAATGGACCCGTGCAAACATAAACGTTGGTATAGACTTTCGTTAATGCACGTGTATGGGACTCCAAACGTTCCCATGAATCACGATTAAACCCCTGACCAACTTGTGGTGCCATATTCGTCAGATAGAAGGTATCCTCACAATGCTTTTGATGGCGTTTGTGATTACCGGCTGCTGCCATATGTCCACGATCGAAACCCGAACGCCGGTAATCAGAATTTTGTGACTGAAAATAGGGATGAATGCTCTCGTCGACTTTAAAGTCACATTTCGAGCGATCAACATTCTCATTTTTAGCTATCGATTCTGCTGTTATGTGTTCAAATACCCAGTTCGGAACACGGTTTCTGCGGTCATAGCTAAGAACAAAATCGGAATAGGAACGTACTGAATCCAAACTGGGGAAACCATATTTCATTATTTCTCCCACTCTTTGTGGTGTGGCAGTTAGATTAACATCTGTAGTGGTGGCAGGTACGGCAGCTGAGACGCTGGCAAATAATGGAAATGCTGGCTTTTGAGAATGCTGCAAAGTTTAATTTCTTTGTAATCGTGTAGGTATTTGCAAAAATAGTGCTTTCTCACCTTATGCAAGAGTTCGGCTTGTTGTAAAGGCAACAGTTGACTTATTTTCTTTCTTTCCTGATAACCTCCATAATAATAGGAACCTAAGGCGGCAGAGGTGACGGCAAATAGTGTTCCAGCAACACGTTTATTCATTATATTCTAGAATTTTTCTAAACAATCTCGAGCAATAAATGACTCTTCGGCAGTGCACGTGAAGTAATAACCGCCTTCCTTCAGCAAGTGATTTTAGAAACATTCACTGCAAAATGGTAGCATTAGCCTTAAGTGAAACAGCTGCTTTAAATTAGTTCCCGGGACTGAAAATCAATTTTTAAATTTTAAATAAAACACAGATATTTAAAAAATTGTGAAACTTTTAAATATCGTAAAGTATACAGAATGAGGTTATGTATGGATTTGCAGGCACACCCGCTTTTTCGTTAATGCATAAACTTCAGAAAACAAAAAATAAAGAATGAAAAGAATGGTCTCCAAAACGCGAATTTACACAACCGGGAAATGATTGATGCAGCAATTGAATTGATTCTTTGGCTGTATGACATGTGGCGCGTCACTAGCTGGCCTGATATGCCGAATGATAGCCGTTATATTGCAAAACATTGATTTTAAATTGGGGGTTCTGGAGAGAAGTGAAACATGAACCTCTTAATTGGATAAGTGCTAAAACCCCCAGAACCAATAAAAAAACAATAGAAATAAGATTAAATTTGTATTTAATTGCTTATTGGAACCAAATGTGAAATATTTAAACATAATTTTTGCGTTCATCATTCTATTCTGCGTTCAATTTTCTATAAAGATTGCATTGTTTTAAAAATGAAAAATAAAATCTACCTGTTTATGAACGTGTTTTGCACATCAACAAACAGTAGATAAACGGAATTGTTGTGATTCGCCTAAATATATTTAACTTAAGACAGTTCTTTCAGACAATCTTATCTAAAAAATTCAACTGTCGCGTGTCAAATTAATTTATTAATCAGGGAGTATTGCTTTTGAGTTTCTCTTTGCTACTCTATCACGAGCATGCAATATATGTTGCTGGCAAATCTTGTTGATGACATAGTCCGATGATGTAGGATCTTGCGCATGGCAGGCCTCTGTAAAAAATATATTTTAATCTTCCAAGTTTACTTGATGATAAAATTTCCAACTAACCTTTTATAATATTGTATAAATAGAATTTTTGGAAACTGGGTTTGTTAGGAGTACCTCTCCAAGTAATATCAATGGCAACTTCATCGGTAATGATTGATTTAATTGACATTTTTATGAAGGAGGCCATATTTTTGCCGCCGACACGTCCTATTAATGATTCCTGTAAGAAATATAAATTAAACGATTATGAGTTAAAAGCTAAAACATCGTCTTTTAAATATTAATGGCTACCAATTGCTTTCGCATGTCTTCATTTTCCGCGATATTTTTCTCGAACTGCATGTAATCCTCTAACGTAGTAAGCGGCAAAGTCGGTAATAAATCCTGTTCGGGTTTAATACATGTGTTTTGTCGTAACTCATTTTTGAGATGGATGAGTTCCTCCGTTAATGTCTTAATAAGTTGTTGCGTCGAATCCAGCCGTTGATTCATATCATCGTCCCGTTTTCTAAGCTCATTTCTAAGAACGCTCAAGTCCACATGTTCTTGGTATGGAGCATATGTATCATCTTTAAAATAGTTAAAAATAATATTACATTAAAACAAATATATACATTTGTTAGTTTATATATTAATTTATATAAAGGTTTTCAAATGACGATATGGCAAAGTAGCCAACTTTCCGCAGACAATATATTTCAAGATTAATGTTTACAATTTTTCACATTACAAATATAAGGTTAATCTATGTAAATAATGTTTGGGTACAAATCCATCACTGGGATGCTTTATTGTGCAGGATATGATTCTGCAGGTCTCGAATCACACAATCCGATGCCCCTTCAAGAAGAGTTTGAGGAAGTAAGCTGGAAGAGCATATCCAGTTGTATATTTTTCGCTGGATGTAGGCAATCTGTAAAAACGAAGAAAAGTACATACAGTAATAAGGTCTGAATAATAAAAAAAAAAAAAAAACAAAAAATATATAGCCGGCTGCATTATAAGGAATTAGAAGTGTTTCTTTCCATCGAAGTGCAGTAGTCACAAACAAATCCTTAGAATGCTTCACTCGGCTGAAACTTTAGGTCTCAAATCACACTATGCGTCAGCAGTGAAGAGTTTCATATTCTAAGCTGGGAAAGCATAGGTAGTTACATCTTTTTTGCTGAGAGTAGAAAATCTGCAAAAATAAGAAGAAAAATACAATAACGTCTGATTAATAAAAAAAAATCAAAACAGTCAAATAAATTGCAGACGGATGTGCCGGCATGCATGTTGAAGAATTTGGAATTGAGCTTCTTAAACCCGAGGTATCTGCAGTCTACAGTGTTAGACAGTAAGCTGAAAGAACATAAACAGTAGTGGAATTAGACAATCTGCAAAAACAAGAAAAAAGGTCTTAATAAAAAATAATAAAAATACAGCTTTTGCGGGTCCAATCAAAAGAGACGTCCCCAACAAAATAGATAAAAAGTCAAAACAAAATGCCCCGATAAAAAATAAACAGAAAGCAAAATCGAAGAGAACCAACGAATGAGGCAACGCAATCAGCTGGAACATTCAATAAATGAGCCGCGGAACTAGTACAAGGTGTTTCAGCGCCGGATTGCCATTTGAAAACTAATCGGCTGTGGCATGGTAGAAGAATATAGGTAGACGCATCGACACAGCTGCTGGGTCAATGAACTGTTAAACTAATTTTTGCAATTGAAAATATTGAATGAAAAATTATTTAAATTTGTAAGAAGTGTTGAAAAATGCGTATTATAATAACCTCCAAATGACGTCGTATAAGGAAACATATAAAATCTGCTTATATTTGAAAAGGCATTTAAAAATTGTTGATATATCATTGTTCGCAAGCGTTGATGCATCTACCCGTATTCTTCTACCATGGTGCTGTGGTTTACGCACACGGCAACTTTGGTAACCAGCATGTTACAATAAAAAGGTAAGATAGAGTTACAAGCTGATTACAATTTTTTTCAAAGCGTGCCCGACTTCTGCCAATTTTGTGTAAGTATTTATTGTTTTGAAAAACGAAAACAAAATATTTTCAAAATCAATGATTAAAAGAACCGTATATTGCAGGGTGCACATTAAAGGTAATAACTATTTTTGCCATGGAATTGGAGGATTGATCAATTGAGATCACATTTTTGGAAGAAAATCCAGGCATTTCATTCTACTTTTTCGGTTTTTAATCAATATTTAAAATAAGCGGGCATAGCCTCGACAGTAAGCGGGCTGAAGTATGAAGCTGTTCTACCTCCTTATTGTACCAAGGCAAAGCATACTTTAAAAGTTTTGTTCCAGTACTTGTTTAGTAATGTCATTCTCATTTAGGTGTGCTTAAAAAATAAGGGAACGGAAAATTAGCAGAAATGCGATAAAATGTCAAAATTAAAAAAAGTAAACAGTCTAAATCGGACTGGTGAAACCTTACTGAAAAGGACAGAAAAATTTAAAAAATGAATTAATAATCTATAATAATAATTAATAATCTGATTTCTCATTCAGCCAGTCCTCTTCACTGCTAGAATCATCCAACAGTGAATACAACAGTTGCTCCATATTTTCTCTTTTTGTTTTTTGCACGACAAATATTAGTTTTTCCTTTAGTTTTTAAGTTGATCATTTTCCTTATTTTTGTTGTGACGCGCGAACTTTGAAATGGGTATATATATTTGATAGCCTGCCAATTAAATGTCAAATTTAAAATATGCACATTTCTGCACCACTCAGCGCCTTTTTTTCGAGAGAGCTGCAAGTTTTGCTAGTTTTTGGAGTACGGTTGTAGCAGAATTAGTACTAATTTGTAGTTTCTGGAACACGTTACGTTTTCATTCGTTTTATTCGCAATGGCATGTATTTCGACAATACGGGTGAATTCGTGAGTACATAAGTAGCTTGGCATCATGGCTAGGCATAGTTATGACAAATTATAAGGAAAAACGATGGCAGGATTAGAGTGCGGCTCTGGCATTCCTTTACGATGTCACAAAATATGTCATGCGAAGACTTCAGCTGTTTATATACCCATGTTTTAGGTCGTTCAATAAGACCTGCTGATTTCAGCCGTACTGTCAAAATGTCGGCAATTGGGATTTAAAAGTATGACAACGCAAAAAATATATTTTCAGTACAAGGGTGTTTCAATCTTTACAGTAGTTTTTCGTTGTGCTTACAAAACAAGTCTGATTTCTGATCAGCGTTCGAAAATAAACAGTACACAAACATAGTGTACTGTACCGGGACAGTATCACTAAAATAAATTTTAGCTACCACTAAATATATTTTAGTGATACTGTACCGGAACACAACGATGATCGTAGTGTACCGCAGTCGGAACAATAAAAAAATCGTAGTGTACCGGAGTCGGAGCATTAAAAAATCGTAGTCGGATAAACATTTGTATGTAAACTTTTTTAAGGACCTCTAAAGAATATTCCTGATCAGCGTAACATTGTAAGACGTTTTATGTCACCTGTTCGTCCGCCTGTGTTAATACAACATTTGATTGAATCGACCATGGTAGAATCAAGAAGGTTAAGTCATATGCATACAATTTTCTTTAAATATTTCTTTTGACAATATCTCATTGTCAAAATATATATTTATAAGTCCATTGTAAATACACAAATCAGAGATGGGAACCTATTTTTATGCAGTAAGATTTGATAAGGTAAATTAAAGAAAATGCAGAGGTGGGTATGCTTATTTGAAATGAGACTACATTGGAATAATTTTATCAAGGCCTATAGAAGATCGGCCAAGAAGACTGCTCTTGACAACAATTTGACAATAAACAGTTTTTGCACAATTGTGATTTTACTTCCTTTGAATTTCAATGAATTTTAAATCACAATATGTTTTTTGGCAGCAAACTTAGTTGTGAGATGGGCTTACATACCGACCTTATTGAAAACACTGCTCATAACATGTCGATTGTCACATGCTTTGCTCCAGAACTGCAAGAATGTAAAAGTTTTTACTACGATAACCGAGTTTTCCTTTACGATATCGAAAAAAATACGAAACTAGTATATCATTGTAGATTCTGGAACAGAGCAATAGTCTTCCAATATATCAATCTGGATACATAGATATTTACCATTTTTGATATAAAGGGAATATAGGTTATCGTAGTAAAAAAGTTTACATTCTTGCAGTTCTGGAACAGATCAATTATTAATTGAAACGAGGTTGACTTAGATGACAAAAAATTATTATAAATGTGTTGCGTAATAGTCAGATGATGACTAATCACAATAAACATAAAATATGTTTTTCTTGGACCAAATTAATATGATTGGTCGATTATCACAATGCATCAACGCTTGGAAACATTGATATGTCAAAATTGTTAAAATGTTTTGTCAAAAATAAGTAGATTTTTACACGTTTTCTTATGCGATGCAAATTGGAGGTTGTTATGATATGCATTTTTCAACAATTTTTACAAATATCAAAAATTTTTCATTCAACATTTTTAATTTCAAACTCGGTTTGACAGTTCATTGTCCCAGCAGCTGCGTCGATGCGTCTACCTGTATTTTTCTACCATGCATGTTACAATGAAATGGTAAAGTAGAGCTACCAGCTGATTAAATTTTTTAAGTGTGCCCGACTTCTGCCAATTTTGTGTATGTATTTGTTGTTTTGAAAAATAAAAAACAAAATATTTTCGAAATTAATCATTGGAAGAAACATACATAGTGGAAACGGCGTCAAAGCTATTCGCCAGTTTTGCCATGGAATTGACAGATCGAACTGTTTGGATTATATTTATGAAAGAAAACCCTGTCAATTTATTACTTTTTCGCGATATTTAACTCATTTATGAGGGAAAATATTGCATAAATAAAAACAACTTGTTGCATGTGAATTTGACAAGAAGCGGGCATAACCTCATGGCTGCATTTCTGTGGTTTTACGAAGTTGTTCTACTTCCTTATTGTATCATGCCGGCAAGTATTTACTAGTTTTGAAATTTATATGCAAAAATACGTTTTCAGATGGATCTGGCTATAGTTTGAGGCTTTTCCCGTATAGACAATTTTCGGTCATAGGAGGTTGTACTCAAAAAAAAAAAAAAAAAAAAAAAAAAAAACTTGAAATATCGAAATTTCACACTGTAGTTCTTGTTATCATTGAAGTAAATCTTACATATCTACTTTTTATTAAAACTTTAATTTGCTTTATTATCATTATCATCATCAGTGTCCATTTTAAGCAATATCTAACCTAAAAGTTACAAAAATCAATATTATTCTGTTACTTAGCTGCAAAATAAAAATACCATTTTAATTATAAAATAAAATACTTGCTAGAACCCAAAAAAAATTGTTTGTATGTACTAAAATCGCACTTATTCTATTTGCATTAGGGAGCTATGGAAACCAAACCAATTTTAAATCTCATTTTTGTTATTAAATTTTTAGAAATTTCACAAAGGAAATGGATAAGGATAGCGGTAGAGGATCACATTTCGGTTAGACAATCTACAATAATTAAAGAAAAATTACAAAAAAAGGGGAGACATATTACAAATAAAAACTAAAAGTACATGTATATAAATGCTTAAACACAAAACTAAATACTTGTAGGTTAGATTAAGATTAGGTTACATTGCATAGATATTTCTTTTGTTTTTGCGTTTGTTTTTTGTTTCTTGCTTGGAAATTAGCACGATTCCTTGTTGCAATCGACAAAATTACTAAACTCGGTGGAATTCGGTGGACCTTCACTGTAGAGATATGTAACAGGCCAAAGACGGGCAGCTGTGAAATCGCTTAAATTCTGCAAGCCGCCAGGTCTGGGTGGTTTTTGATATTCTTCAGATGTTGAGGCAGCCGATGAATATCTGTCGGAGGGTTTGCGTTTCTCGCTGGGTTTTAGAGGTTTAACACTGAGACCGGAATGTGTGAGGGTATGATTGCCAGGATAGTAACGATCGCTACATTTACGCCATTGATCTGGTTCGTCACCAACAAAGCACCTGTTTGGGGAAAAAATATTGTCATTTGGTAAGAGATTTTTATATGTGTTGTTGTTAAACAAATTTTGCAAATCTAAATTCTGTAAACTTTTTGTTGTGTGTTTCCTCCCTTCCATTGATTCTTGGCGAAATAGCTCTTGACAACGAGTTATTTCGCCATGAGGTATAAATTCGCCTAATGGACGATTTTATAAAGATACATTGATCTAATGTAAGTTTTCTATAGTCAAGTATGAATATCAGCCGAATTCAGTTTCTAAACAGAAACAATACAGATTGTTCCTTTACTGTTGTACCCGTTAACCAAAGAGAAGATTATTAATTCAATCCCCGATTTCATTGTTTTAAAAAATCATATTGAGGCCAAATTCAATTTCGGAATGATGCGTAGAGTATGAATTTTGTTACTGCATCGATACGCTTCAGATAATCAAAAATCGAATATGTACCACGCATTCTACGTCGCAAAGGCGTAATTTTGGCACCCTCTTTAGTTCATGTATGAAACAGTTCTGAGGCATATATTTCGGCTCGAGCTTTTTTAGATTCCTGTTCTCAAGCTAATTTGATAACGGATGACCGAGTACAGAGGCTTAAAATAAAACGAGAAGCTTGCAGACGAAATGTAACTAGTATTTCAGAGTTAGAATAATTTTCAAAGAATAGAGTGCAAGTGTTTTTAATGTTGAGGCTCAATTCAAGACAATTCTCACCCAAGTTTTGGGTATTACATTCTATATAGAATATTCAACCATATAACAGATTGGATTGATTTGACCCTAATTTAAATGAATATCGGAGTGAAGAGTAGAGTAGATTTTCTTCGAACTTCTTTGTGCAGGCCAAATCATACCCATCCCAATTCTGCAAAAAAATTCGCTTTTGATGCATTTCTTATGTATGCCACGTAGCAAAACAATTGTGGTAGACTTATTTGCTACAACAATCCTTTTCTGATGTACTCGACCTTGTGATTTTTCAAAGAAACATTTAATTTCGTATCTAAAATATATACGTATGACGAGTGGCATATTTTATGAATAAATAAATAATCAATTATATTCGGCGTTCTTTGGAACGTCAAAACAATTATATGTTCCATATCTTACGAAGACGAATTTTATGTGTCATCTTGAGGAAGCTTTATCCGTGTTGTTAGGGGTGAAACAGATCAAAGCTTAATTCCTGACTTCGGCGTGAAAATACAACACAGTTTTAATTTAGCTGACAAGTGTTGCATTTTCTGGTTTCGTGCAACGAAAAATATGTCGTATTTTCCCGCCGAAGTCACGATTTAAGCTTTGTTCTTTGATCGAAATTTTACTCTGAAAATCTCGTGCACTGAACTTAAGGCCAATTCGACTGAAATTTCGGGATGACAATTCTCTAACAGCATTAAGGTTTTAAGTACGAAAAAAGCTTGAAGTCATGGCTAGGCATATTAATGTCAAATTATAATGGAAAAGGACGCAGGATTTTAGTGCGGCTCTGTAATCCCTTGAGGAAATGTCACAAAATATGTCTAGCTATGACTTCAAGCTTCTTATGTACTTACGCCTTTATAGAAAAACAAGCAGCGATATTGTTGATCTTCATACTTGTTCTAGCTGAGGCAAAATTATTTTTGAAGCTAAATTCAAACATTTCAAAATCAAGTCTTAGGCTGGAAATACATAAAGCGCATATTTGGCTGGCTTAAGTCATCGGCTGGCTCCTTCGTAGATGAACAAAGGAGTTTTAGGTTGACTTAGTTCGATTTTGGCCCTAGGCTCCTTTGTTCATTTCCGAAGAAGCCAGCCGATGACTTAAGCCAGCCAAATATGCGCTTTATGTATTTCCAGCTTTATATTTCATAATAGAATGAGATTTCGTTGGAAATTGTACCGTGGTATGCCATTTAAGTAGTTCAATGGACAATAGTAATGCCATGTTTACGTTAGAACTTTTTGTAGGGTTAACCTACTTTGAGAGGATTTATTTGAAGTAATGGAAATGACAATTTAAATCCAAATCCAGTGTGTTAACCCTCATATATATAAACGTACTGTAAAACTTTTAATAAAATTGTTAAACAAATTTTGGAGTTGGAAGAAATTCTAAATAATTCTTTGAAAACTTGATCCTATGAGCTTGACGTTTACCGCCAGGGTGCTCTCAAGTGTCGTAGCCGTTCAAAGAAGTGAAACGCTTGGTTTCGTCATAGGAAACTTTTAGCATAGGAAACTTTTAGCCGTCAAGTTTTAATTGATGAAAAATAAAGAGATTTTTACTAAATCCTTTGAAGTAAAAATGCTAGTAATCCATTACAACTTTTCAGATTGAACACGGACATTCGTTATCTAAACCATTTAAACAATTTTTTTATGTGGATGATCTATTGACTGTTGCTGTGACATGAGTAGTCTGACATATTCAAATCACAGTTATATATTTTGACAGCAAACTTGCTGCGCTTACTGGTCGACCTTAAGTTGATGTTACATACATGTCCTATTTGGCGACGAATCATGCCGTCGTTTTCCCTAATAATTTGACATTAATATGCTATGCTATGATGCCAAGTTGCTTATGTATCACCACCTTTACATAGGCCAGTCCGACATTATATAGGCCTTGATAAAGTAGCGTTGTAAATTAATTACTCAGTGATTACATAACTTACCATGGATAGTCGAATCCTTTCGAATAGCCACAAGGATGATCCATCTTACAGCAATAATCCCACGAGCCAATTTCACCACCCTCAATTTCACATGAATAGAAACCGGTTATGAGATTTTTCTCACAAGGACTATTGCGGCGGCAAGGTTTGCCCGATACCGAATAGTGATGCCAAGCCAAATCACCTGAAAAAGATACAAAAGACAACAAAAATTGTTAGAAAACGTAAATTCATTGGAATCGTGCCACTGCTCCCAAAAATATTACCTGGTTCCCTAAAGATGTCCATGCGACGATTATTATTAACCCTTGAACCACCAATGGTGTTAACCTTATCCCGACATGTATAATCGAATGGATTCCAAGCAAATAACCAAAAATCTCTATCATCGGTGTGAGTGTAATGAACATTCAATTTCAATTCGGTTTGATCCAAATCGGACATTTCACAATTGAAGGTGGCTTTGCGTGAGCTGTGACAGATGATTGGAAAGACACAGAGAGAGAGAGAGAGAGCGAGATAAAATGACAGTTATGGTCAATGAAATGATAAAGCAGTACACTTACCCATAACTAAAGGAGTAGCACTTAAAGGACGTGGTATCCCGGAAGCGCATACATTCCTTTTTACACTCCATTTCAGAGGGAGTCGTAATGACTTTCTTTATCGCCGGTGGCAGTAGCTTGGCAGCCGAACCATAACCCAAATAGCAGAAGGCTTAAGGAATATAAGAGTTGTTAAAAACGGTATTGGTATTTGGAAAAAAATATTTGGAATCCGAGGAATTATGTTCGAATTTCCAAGTGGTCCCAATTTACACTTGCGGTCTTTGCCGCAAAGAAAATATGATCTGGGAGGAAGTGGGTTAAATAAATTAAATTTCACTTTTCTTTGTGGCAATTTTAGCACGAGTGAATAGAGACACTGTTCGAAAAAATCGATAGAGCGTTCAAAGTACACCGCGTTTTAATCAAATTTCAAAATGTTTGCGTTTCAAACTTCTACTCTTCGTTTGTCTTACATTTTTTGTGTTTCTCATCAACGATGGGCTGGATTTCACAACCATGTCCATAACTGGCTCTCTCGAAAATATCAAATGCCTTATCCAACACCAAATGGCGTTCCTTGTCCATATCTCTGACTGGCCAATCGCTGAGTTGGCAGTTATCGATAACACTAGCATGCCTCTGTTGACCATAGCGGAAGGCAAAAGCACGACAGGTGAATTTCGTCGATTTAATGCATTCCATTTCACATTCCCCCACCGATCGAACGGTCAACGAATCTCTGACAATGGATTTGAAGAATCGTGTGGCATCAATGGCACGGAAGAAACATTCTGTTTGCAAGGAGACAGAGGTTAATTCATTTAAAGATGCATGCAAGGTCTCTCAAACTTACGAGCATTTCTGGGATCTGCCAAGGCCGTAGTTGGAGGCCCACCTCCTCTTGGGCCATCACTTCGCGAGGGCTTCCGACAAACGTTCATGTCATCTGACATGGAATAGATATCGTAGTTGCGATCCGGTTCTATGTCCACATAATAGTCCAAACGATTTATGGGTCGATCACACAGCATGCAATTGTCCCGACTTCCAGGGGAGTAGCGATAAGAGAAAGTGTGGCAAATAAAAGCATCCTGACCATAGCACAACCGTTCACATTCTGTCAAACTGGGTGCGGAATAGATGTGTTTTACAATCTTTTTGTGTAGACGAAATCCCTCTGAGGTTTTGGCGGAACATTCTTTAGCATAAAAAAATTCAAATTTTTAAAATAATTTCCACAAAAGTTCTACAGAAGCATTTCTCACCATCTGGTCCAGGCCTCCGGGTCCATTGGTGGCGATAATCAAAGCGATCGGCAAAACCATCATGTTTGGTATAACCTCCATAACTGGAACCAGGATAACTTAAAACCGAATTGCTTTCATGGGGCGGAGCACCCTTACGCGGCGGTGGTCCCAAATCGAAGTAGTTGAAATCAATTGGATCCTTGGGTTTTGAACGATGATCTGTAAGACCCCAATAGGCAGTTTGTTTATTACGATAGCCACCATAATTGCCACCATAGGAACCCCATTCATTGTCGGTACCAATTAGGTAGGGCACATATTTCCCTCCTCCCCCACCACCACCACCACTGGGGCTACCACTACCTTTTTTGTATGTCGATGGACGGTCACGATCTAAATAATTATAGGAAGGTGGGGGAGGACCAGGACGATATGAATCCGGTGCATGGGAACCTGAGGGACGATATGGTGTGTACTCAGGACCTGGGCGATAGGGGGGACGATAACGTTCTTGTGAATGCTTACCACCATCATAGCCACCACCACTGCCGCTGGGTAAAGCTTCCCACTTTGATGGATAGGGCCGGTAACGGTCCCTATCACCATGATGGATGTCATAGCGATCAATGGGATCTAAACCGGAACCGCTGCTGCCATAACCACTATGCGAAGAATGTTCATAATAACCCGAACTGTGTGACGAAAATTCATGGGAACCACTGTGATGCTCATACGAATACGGTGGAGGACGGCCATGCGACTCATAGGAGGGTCCCGACGGCCCTGAAGGACCATAATGCTCCAGCGAAGAACTGCTGCTACCCGGTGGAGGCCGACTATAGTAACCACCACTGTTTCCCCCACTTGGTGGTGAGGGCAAGTAATGATCATCCCTATATGGTGGTTTATCCATCCACGATCCACTTGGCTTGTTGTAGTGCGATGATGAGGGAGGTAGTGGGGGCGGTGGCAGTTTACTACTACAATCTCTGCACACATTATACCGGCAGCTTGGTGGAGCATTACGATCCCTCTCGTAATAATCATAGTCGGGATGACGCAATAGATTCGAATCTCTGCGATTTGCACTAGAATACAAATCGATTTGGGCCAAGGGTATTTCAATTAGCTCACAATCACCCTGACCATGCCCGGAAGGATCCAGCCGGTAATTGAAACCTTCACAAGTGAAACGTTTTTCACGGCCGCACTCACGCATACATTCCTCGACCCGTTCACATGCTATGGTCCGTCGCACCCAATGCGGGGCAACTCGTTTACCGGCCAGCACACGTCTAAAGCAAGCTGAAGAACAACAAAGAAAACAAAACAAAGAATGGAATGAATTTCGAAACGGCAATTTTATTTTGGCAAAGTTTAACGGCTAATAAAATTAATGGCTTCGCTTGTTTTTTTTTTTTTTTTTTTTTTTTTGCAAAATTCGAAGAGAATGAATTGCCTCTCGAGGGTTGGTTTCTATGGGGATTTATAAAACACAAACATTCGCTCTGAAGTTTTCCATATTAATTTTCTTCGCCATTTATTTGTGTGAATTTTTCAATGTAAACAAAAGACGTCTCTTTTCATTCAGCAAACGCTTTAAGATTTATACAATTTATGCCACACTTTGAAGGCCTGCTTCACGCTTTACGTTTGAAAGGGAGCTTTATATTTTGTCATTTTGGATAAATGAAACGAACGGATGTGGCCAAAGTCATCTTCATTGCTGGCTGGCTTTGAAAATTTCAAGCATCAAAGACAATGATTTGTGGCAAATGGGAAACAAATGCACCCACAATAGTTACAATGGACATGGGAAATACATCAAATGATGGATTATCCATAGATGGTGTTGATAGTCTATGAAAATGTGTAAATTTGTTGTAATAGATAAGTGTAAAGATTTGTAATCTATAGTTGGACTTGTGGCACACAGCAAGATAAACTTTAAGCATAATAAGTCCTACAATATTTAGTTTTAATAAGTAAAAAAGCAGCCCGGCTGCCTGGCCTGAACTTTTGATACCCTCCATTATTTGGAAGGTACTGGAAAAATAAAAAAAATCGCCCAAAAACACCGCTCAAATGAAAACTTTTACATGGCGACAATCCGAAGACGTGGTGCTGGATAAGTAATTTTTTGTCATAGGCTGTAGAAACGATTCCTAACTTCAAAAGCGAAATTCGAAACAATTCCGGTGAATAATGTCGTTAATATAATCAATTTAGGTGAATAATGTAGCGAAAATGCTGGAAATACCGAATATCTCGGGGTAGCGTTATATGGGTGCTATACTATAACGTAGACCTATATGAACAATTCTCTTCCAAGGGGTAAAGTACTCAGACGGTAGTCCTTGTGTGGATTTTCACACTATTCCATTGAAAAATGTGGCTAAAATCATCAAAATACCGAATATCGGGAGGTATAGTTATATGGAGACTATACCAAAACGTGGACCTATACATACAATGTTCTGCCGCACGAGCTAGAATCCATTATGACCCACAAATATAAATTTTTAGACAAATTCGTGAAAAATGTGACAATAATCATCAAAATACCGAATATCGAGAGGTAACGTTATATGGGGGATACACCAAAACGTGGACCTATATATACAATGATTCGCCACACGAGCTAGAACCCATTATGACCTACAAATAAGAATTTTTAGACTATACCAAAACGTGGACCTATACATACAATGTTCTGCCGCACGAGCTAGAATCCATTATGACCCACAAATATCAATTTTTAGACAAATTCGTGAAAAATGTGACAATAATCTTCAAAATACCGAATATCGAGAGGTAACGTTATATGGGGGCTACACCAAAATGTGGACCTATATATACAATGATTCGCCACACGAGCTAGAACCCATTATGACCTACAAATAACAATTTTTAGACAAATCCGTGAAGTTCTAATAATAGATTTAATTAGCTTTAAGAAAGTAAAAATTAAAAGAGTTAGGGACTCCAGTTTTTTCTACATCATTTTTTAGGAGATCATTATAATTATAAGCATAATTATAAGTATATTTGTATTAGAATCGTATAGAGAAAGGCTACATCTTCACTGTAGCCTAAGTTATGTATTATATAGGTAAACTTAGAAAAATAAGATTTATGTTAAGTATAGATTAAGGAAATATTGTTAGCCGTAAGGTATTCAAAAATTGTTTAAGGATATGGATGAAATAAATGAAACTGAAACTGACAAATCCGTGAAAAAATAAGGCGAAAATCATACCGAATATCGGGAGGTACTGTTATATGGGGGTTATTCCAAAACGTTGACAGATATTTTCAATACCAACCATCCTAGACTCAATACAAATCGTTCTGCCAAATTTTGTGGGCTGTATCGTGATTTCAACAGACAGACAGACGGCCATTCGACGAATATTTAGGGATGTTACAAACGGAATGACAAAGTTAATATACCCTCCTTTCTACATAATATTTCGCTATAAACCTCAGAATAAACCACATATCTAGGAACAAGATTTGTTTGTGTGTTGTTTCTTTTTATACCCCTTCACTGGGGTATATTAAGTTCTTCATTCCGTCTGTAACCCATCGATATAATAATTTTAGACATAAAAAACTATATATATATCTTGATCGTAAAATTCTAAGACGATTTAGCCCTTTTCGTCCGTCCGTCTGTCCATCTGTTATAATTACGCTAGAGTCAAAACAAATAAATATAGGAATCTAAAAGTTTGCACAGATCAGTCTTTTGTCTGCAGTCAGGTCAAGTTCGAAGATGGGCTATATCGGTCCACGATATTGTTTAGCCCCCATATAACGGCCCCCCGATATTCGGTATTTTGATTTTTGTAGCCAAAATTTTCAATGGAATTGTTTAAAATCCATACTAAAAGCTCTTTCTAAGCACTTTACTCCCTTGAAGAGAAATGTCTATATAGGTCCACGATATCGTAAATTTAACGATACCCCTTCATATACGAAATTTTGATGAACTTGTTTCAAATTACGTGTTTCGAATTCGTAATGGGTACTACAGCCTATGAATAAATATTGCGAATGCAGGTCCACGTCTTCGTATAGAATCCATATAACGGTACCTCCAAATATTCGGAATTTTAATGATTTTAGCGTCATTATACACCGGAATAGTTTCAAATTACGTGTTTAGAGTTCGTAATGGGAACTACAGTCTGTGACAGAAAATTATCCATGCAGGTCCAGGTCTTCGTATAGGCCCCATATATCAGTACCTCCCTATATTCGGTATTTAGCGATTTTAGGTAAAATACTCACTGAAATTGTTTGAGATGTCGTATTTGAAGTTCCTAATGGAAACTACAGCCTGTGACAGAAAATTGTCTATGCAGCTCCAGCTCTTCGTATAGCTCCGATATAACGGTACCTCTCTATTTAGGGTATTTTGATGATTTTAGCTACATTATTCATCGTTTTTTTTCAAGTTTCGTATTTGAATATTGTAATGGCTTATGACAAACAATCCCTGTGTAGGTCCACGTCTTCGTATAGACCCCAATATAACGGCTATATTCGGCCTTTTTAAGATTTTAACAAAATTTTTAACGGATTTTATTTTTTTGAAAATTTCTAAATTCGTTCCAAATGGTGGAGGGTATTCAAATTTCGGCCCGGCCATCCTATTGCTTTTTTGCTTGTTTCTTTTGTATGTGTTTTTTTAGCTGTTTATCTAACACGTATTCAATCCGAGCCAAAATTCTCCTTTATACTTCATTATATGGGAAAAGTGTCAAAGTAAAAATTATTCTAGATCAAATTTCATTGTGAGCCTCTGAACAAAAGGATTTTTTATGGTACATATTAAGTATATGTACCATAAAAAATCATCTGTTTTTGTTAATAAGAAACATTGTTTATCTCAAAAAAATGAGCACTTTAATTTAACTGTACAAAAGCCAGACAGGGCTAAAGAAATAAGGGTCTGGTCTAAAGAAATAAGGGTGGACCTAGAAAAAAATTATTTTAAAAATTATTTTTAGCCATAGAATATTTAGCCATAATTAAAAAAAAGAACTCAGAATGCACAATTTGTTCATATATTATTCAAGTTTAATAATAGGAAACTATATTCCTTTTACACCAGAAAGTCCTTAATATCTTTCATTCTTGCGTTTACCGAGGAGGATATAAGTAAAACCATTGCTCGATGAACCCACGTACAATATTTTCCAAAACCATTTCAACGCCTCCATTTGTAAACCCTAGAAATCAACAGTGGCCTCAATATCAACTTTCGGACTTACAGCTTTTTCCCTTCACCCAACACTAAAATTAGGACTATTTAGTACTTTTCGAACAAATGCAGTACAAATCTCTTCATATCAAATTTCATGATTTTAGCTCCGTAATTTCCTTCCTGTTCTCAACCACCATATTATCCATATCAAATTTCAGGATTACAAATCTATTCCTTAACCCAATGTCAAATTTAGTACTATTTAGTAGTGTTCGTACCATAATAGTACACTTTTCCAAACTACCTCCAAATCTCAAACACAGATACCATCGCTAATCTAAATGTCATCTTTCAAAATTGTATCTTTGTCCCATCCCTTAATACCAAATAAAGTACCATTCAGTACTTTTTATTCAATTATAGTACACATTTCCGAAACTACCTCTATATTTCTATTCCAGATACCAATAGAAGCCTCAAAATCAAATTTTAAAACTTCAGCTTTTTAAATTCCCCCATTACCCAATTTACTACCACTTAGTAGAATTATAGTACGCAAATCCAAATGCAGATTCCTCTCTTAAGGATATCACCAGCAGTGACATCCATATAAAATTTCAGCTCTATACCTTTACCAAATACAAAAATTTAATACTGTTTAGTACTTTTCGTGCAAATATTGGACGAATTTCCAAACTACCGCCAAATCTCAAACACATATACCATCAGTAATCTGAATATCGAATTTCATAATTGTATTTCTATCCTCTCACCCAATACCAAATATAGTACTACTTAGTACTTTTCATACAATTATAGTATACATTTTCGAAACCACTTCCATATCCTCAGGCTACACATCAACGGCGACCTACACACTACACTTTCAAATTTCCAGCTTCATCCGTTCACTCTAAACCAAACTGTTCCACTTAGTTCGCAGACTTAGCATACATTTCCGAAACCTTTATATATCAAACTTACTTTACAACCTTGATTCTCTCACCAAATTTAATGTTGTTAGCCCTATCCGTTCACTTGATACCGAATGGAACCATTTTAGAAATTTCACTTCATTTTAGAACTTTTCGAAACCTTGAAGTTCGAATTTCCAAAAAACCATTTTGGTGCATCTATCCTGCACTCCATCAGTTACTCTCATTCCAAATTTCAAAACTCTACTCTGATTTCGTTCGTCCATTACATTCGAAAAATTTCGAAAACCCCCATATCACACGTCTACGCACCAAGACGGAACCACGTGCAAAATTTAAAGATTTTAGCTTCTGCGGTATCGTCGGGGCGTTGATTCTTGGTCAGTCAACTATTTCGCTACTCCTTTTTATATATAGATTATAGATTATCTTTTTTATATATAGAAAACTGCAAACAATTTCAGACTGCTGTGACTTCTAAGCCACTTGTCCGACAGCTGTTAAAATTGGTTTTCTCCGATGAGAAAAAATTCGTTGTCCAGCAGTTTGTAAATAAACAAAATTATCGTGTTTGCTTGCCAAAGAACACCTTCGTTTGGCCACCAGAAATCAAGCGCCGGCATGGTGATGGTGTGGGCCGCCATAACAGCCGATGGTCGCTCTGCGATCGTATTAATCGACCGTGGCATCAGAATAAATGCCGAATATTATCGCGAAAATATTCTGGAGGGTGTATAAAGCCTTTGGCACGCAAACATTTTGGCTCAGACCTTGGACATTCCAACAGGACTCAGAATGGATACAAAATGAGGTTCCTCACTTCATTTCCAACGCACAGTGACCACCAAAATCCTCGGATATTAAGTCTGCAGTATTTTGGAAAGCAAGGTTGGCACTAAAAAATACCAAAGTGTTGATCACCTCAAACAAGCGCTTTGCCGGTAATGGGCCAAAATACCTCGTGTGACGGTTTCATTGGCCGTTTGAAGATCATAATTCGTGCGAAAGGTGACCAATTCGAACAAATCTAAACTCATTCTAAAATTTGATGCTATTTCCGACATTTTTTGGTTCCATTCAATATAATTTAAAAAAATGTAAAAATTATGGTGTTTGACTTTTTTGCGGTTTTTTCTCACCCTTTATACCCTCTCTAATCATATGGCTAAGGGCATAAAAAAAAAAAATTTAAATGTCTTTATGTGGCAATGAACGCTATTCTTCATGATCAATCTTGCATATTAGAAGAAATAATGTGAGTTATGCTGCGATATCCTTTGGAGGGATATCATACAACCAATTACCTTTGGCATCCTCGACAATAATTATCGTACTGCTAATTCCACCATGGCCCGAATGTGATGATATCGGCACAATGCCATAACCCGAGCCACTGCCACCACCACCAGCATCGGCGGCTATGCAAAAAATTAGAAGAACATATGTCCCGATTAATGTCACGTAATCCAAACACGACCGCATTGCATCGACAATCGAACGAGACTATTTTTTACGAGATCCACTTAAATGATGTGCCGAAATTCGAACTTCGCGGGTTATGACAAATCACTGAAAATAAGCGCGTATGTATGAAGGTATGTACATGAAATGTAATGACACTTAATTTGTTTTGCGTTTTTTTGTTTGTGTGATGATGTTGAGGATTCAATGGAGTTTTTTTTTCTATGTGGAGTTGCTGGCAATCAAATGAAGAATCTCTCCACAAAAAATGTAAATTTTTATTTTAAAATTACGTAATGCTCATGAACATTCATATGTTGCTGTTGTTGTTGGTTTTTGTTTTGTTTCAAATGAAAATGAATTTATTTTTGGCTCGATGTTAATGTTTTTTGTAGTTTTTGAATTTTCCACTGATGAAAATGAAATATTCTTTTGTTTGTTTTGGTTTTTTTTTAGGTGAGTAAAAAAATTGGCTTTAGTTTTGTCTGAATGTCAAATGAATTAAACACTTGATGTCACACGCGTCCAATAGTGACTGTGATTTTAGACACGCAAACTTTTGGAACAATCTAAATTGGCCATCCATCACTTTCAAATGGAAAACATGGAAGACCAGACTCGATGAGGTAGGGAGAGAAGTATTAGTGTTTTCGTTTGATGAGTTTTTATGGATTAGCTATTGTTTTCTATTATGGACATTCAGCACTCATCCGTCGACTAATTCATTTGCATTCATTTGAAGTTTTAACCATAAATTTTCATTGGATTATGGCAAAGGTCGTTGAATTATTTTTTGAATGGTAATCTTTTGCAAAACACTTTCAATTTCAATATCATTTGGCTTTTCCGACAATACACCATACATTAATAAACGTCTAAATTTAACACTTTTCTGTTGAATATATTTATGTAAATTATTCCATTTTGTGACTTATTTAGAAAATTTCGAAAATTTTTAAACATTTAAACATTCACACTAAAGTTTGTGTTTGCCATCAATTCTATTTCATGTTTCAAATTTTCTTTTAAATTGTTAATCTTTCCCGCTGTTGGTTTGTTTTTTTTTCGGACTTTTCGCCTCCGAATTTTATAATGATTCTAATGATTCGTTTCCCTATCAACGCGCTACTGAACGCCATGGCGTGGCCATAACATGGTTTTATATTTTCATGGCAAAATCTGAAATGCTGGAAATAAAAAGCTTCTCTGCGTTGTGGGTGGGAAATCAGAATGATAGTAGCCATGATGATGATGATGATGTTTTATCGTCATCAGCAGCAACACTAACTACACCAACTACAAACGTAGCAAATCAACGCAAAATCTCAACTAAATGAACGCGCCATAACATCATTAACACTCGACTGCTTAGCATGGAACTTTAGTTCAAGTGGAAAACCCTAGCTTCATTATTAACGCTTGAATGTGATCATCTTCTCTTTTTGTTGGGTTCTTGGAAAAAAGCTTTACTCATCGGGGTTCTTAAAGGGTTTGAATATGTAAACAAAAAATACAAGAATCCTTGCAAATTGAAATCCTACAAAGGCATGTAGAATTAGGTGCTTGTGTCTTAAGTCTTTAGTTTTGTCTAAGGTATCAGAGTAAATATTCATTATATCTAGTAATAAATATGTATATGAATGACTTGACCTAAGTTAAGCCATCATTCTAGGATTCTGAATAATTTGTTTTCTAAATCTTTTATTATATTCTACCCCACATAGTGGTAGGGGTTTTATGTTTTTGTGCATTTGTTTGTAACATGGAGAAGGAAGCGAGATAGACCCATAGTTACTTTGAGGATCTTCATAGAATGACTTTCTGAGTCGATTTATGCATATCAGTCCGTTCGTCCGTGTATTCTTGTGAACAAAGTGCAGGTCGCATTTATTGAGATTTAATTTTCCAAACAATATTTATTTCTCCCAAGGAGGAACCGTATTGAAATTGTAAAGAATCGGTTCAAATTTAGATATAGCTCTCTCATATATTTTTAACCGATTTCGGTTTAATTGTGCACCAAATGGCCAATATCGGTCCAAATGACCTGAATTTTCGTACATCACACCGATTTCAATCTAGAAGCAAGTACATCAAATTTGGAGAAAATCGGTTCAGATATTGCTATAGCTCCCATATATATGTTTCATCCGATTTGGGGTTTAAAGTCCCTCACATGCGTAGTATACACCACATAAGAATGATATTTGGTACCGGACATCAGATACTGCTCTGAAATACATCTGCCAAATTTTATCAAGATCGGTTCAGATTTGGATATTTGCTCCCATATATATCCTCAACCGATTTCGGGTTTATTGTGCACTAAATAGCCAATATCAGTTCAAATAACCTGAATTTTGGCATATCCGTTCGAATTTAGTCTAGAAGCAATTACATTGAATTCGGAGAAAATCGGTTCAGATATAGCTATAGCTCCCATATATATGTTTCATCCGATTTGGTGCTTAAGTCCCTCAAATTCGTAATATGCATTCGACAACAATGATATGTGGTACCAGTTATCAAATACAGCCCAAATTGTATCAAGATCGGTTCAGATTTGGATATAGGTCTCATACACATAAATGACATGACCAACATTTAGCCATCATTCTGGGTTTTTGTATAACTTGTGTTCTAAATCTTTTATTTTCACTGCCAAATTTATAGTAAAGTTGGAAAATTTGTGGATCATGGGACTAAGGTATTAGACTATACATTTACATACGTTTTTATGCGAAATCATAAATTCCGATAAATCCCATATTGATTTCAGGTTTCTGGTTGAGCGAAATATTTAGATATAACAAGTTGTAAAGATTCGCTGACTTGTTTCGCAAGTTATGATAGATAAAATTATTGAAAATTGTGACCCTTGTTGTGGGTGAGGTACCAGAAGGGGTTCGCAGATATTTTTCGGCTTCACAACAAATCTTGTGTAAGCAAAAATGTTTGTGTGTGTAAAATTTGAAGAGCTGGATACTTATTTCGCTTTCTTTGAGCGCTTGTTTTCAAAATCTTGAACCCTATGTGGGGTACCAGAAAAATGGTCCGATCCCTTCCATCTTTATAACAGATCTTGTCCTGATGGAAATATTGAGATGTACCAAGTCTGAATGGAATCGGATGTTAATTTCGCGTTTTATGAGTTTCATGGGTATTCAAAATGTTGACCCTTTGTGGGGGAGGTACCAGAAAGAAATTTGCCATTCAGCAAATATTGCAAAATGAGCACAGGGTAAAGCCATTGAAATTCCAAAGAATGCAAGAACTTACACTGCAACAGAAAGTAAATAGACTCAAAAGAGCTAAAGAGTCGCTTCGCTTTGCCGAAAGTGCTGAACTGCCGAATTGGGTTTTCTCCGATGAGAAAACATTCGTTGTCCAGCAGTTTGTAAACAAACAAAATGATCGTTTTTACTTGCCAAAGAGGTCAGCTGAAAATGTGCACCTTCGGTTGGCCACCAGAACTCAATCGCCGGCCATGGTGATGGTGTGTGCCGCCATAACAGCCGATGATCGCTCTCTGCTCGTATTAATCGACCGTGGCATCAGAATAAATGCCGAATATTATCACGAAAATATTCTGTAGGGTGTACTAAAGCCTTGGGCACGCAAACATTTTGGCCGCAGACCTTAGACATTCCAACAGGACTCAGCACCATCGCACTCAGCACGCTCCATCCAAGAATAGTTGCATGGAGTTAGAGTTTAGGGCTGGGCAGAAGCCTACCAATTTGGATGGTCATCGCACAATTTTTAGCGGCTAATATAAAGTATAACCCCAAAGCGCGAATTGACCATTACAGTTATGTTGATAGCCAAGCTATAGGATATATAGAAAAATAGGTACAATATATATGTAAAAGAAATAGATCTTAGATATTCTGCTCATAAGTCAAGAACCGCTGGATTGATTTTTACAGTTCTCACCAATTGACAGTTGTCTCTTGTCAGAAAAGGATAATATCTATGAAAATTACGTTAAAATATTCCAATAAAAAAGTGAGTATTTGTATACCCTCTAACATAGTATGGAGGGTATATTAAGTAACACCTCGAAATATACATTTTAGACCCCACAAAGTATATATATTCTTGATCAGCATGAAATTCTATGTCGATTTAGCGATGTCCGTCCGTCTGTGGAAATCACTCTAGCCTCCGAATGAAATGAAGTGTCTGAGTGTCTGCAGGACTTTTGTTATTGAACATGGGCCATGTAGGTCCACGTTTTGGTATAGCTCCCTATATAATGGTACCTCCCTATTTTCGGTATTTTGATGATTTAAGCGATATTATTCATCGGAAATGTTTCAAATTTGTTATTTGCAGTTCAAAATGGATACTACAGCCTATGACGGAAAATTGTCCTTGCAGGTCCACGGCTTCGTATAGCCCCCTATATAATGGTACCTCCCGATATTCGGTATTTGGATGATTTTAGCGACATTATTCGCCGGAATTGTTTCAAATTTGGTATTTGAAGTTTGTAATGGATTCTACAGCCTATGACAGAAAACTGTCTGGTATAGCCTCCATATAATGGTCGGCCCCGCAGGACCATAGCCTTTGCTTACTTGTTAGAATTTATGTTCCATTTCACCACAATCACGATCTTTTGATGTATACAAGCATATCTCACCCACAAATCATCTTTAAATAATTCCAAGTTTATTGACCCTACAATTGTAAAATACAAAAGACATCTATAAATAGTCTTTGGAGTCATTAGGTCTTGTAATGAAATGCCTACAATTCAAAACAATTAACAAACTATTTTGTTTTAAAAATCACATAATTATGACTGGTTTTTAACTTTTTTTTAATTTAATTCGCAACGCTTTGGCAAAAAAAAAGAAAAAAAAAAACGATCCATTCATGTTGCCACATTTTCAGGGTCTTTATGGCCATAAATACTTTGCGTTTGGCATATTTCTGCTAAATGTCTATAGAATAATTGACCAATTTTTGAGGGGCCATAATTAAAAACTATTTTGTTTATGTTTGGAACATTTTAATTATGACGATTGTGTAATTAAAATAGACATCTAACGTTATAAACATTTCATTTACATTTAATATTTACACTTTTATAAGTCAAAATAAAGTTTTTT